AAAATATGAAAGTGTGTATCGTATTTGCTCTACTATTAGATGCAAATACATTAAAACCCGACATATTTTGACCATAGACACACCTCTGTCATTTATGTAAGCACATACACTACTTATACAGTATGTATATTTGGAAATGTTGAACAGAACTGTTGTCATGGTATCCTTCACTTCCAAGATACTTAGTTCATATGAACCAGTTAAGGGATATTTAACATTCCAGGCAATGACGCTTATCCCCAATAATAGGTTGAATTACATAATACAGTTGAAAATGAGAAAGAATCATGTATTAAATTAAACACTGTTAAACACATCTGTGTAATGTAGTAATTCAATTCAATTTCTCTACAAACTTAAAATGTAAAATAGATTGAATTAATATGGACCTACATTTTCATTATGCAGAAGTCAAGAAGTCCTCTGCCAGCAGCTGATGTAAATGACATGATGGAAGACTGTAAAGAAATGGGTTTGTTGTTGGGAAAAGCTGGTCTTCATTCCAATGTAAGTAATATATACAGCCTAGAATATTCCACTGCATGCATTCTGATGACGTCTGTAGTGCAATACTGGTGCAGTTATCTTCCTCAAATGCCTACGTTAACCCTTTAAATGCCGAAGTTATCCATTCAAATGCCGAAGTTATCCATTCAAATGCATAAGTTAACAATTCAAATGCCAAAGTTATCCCTTCAAATGCATAAGTTAACCCTTCAAATGCCAAAGTTAACTGTTCGAATGCCAAAATTAACCCTTCGAATGCCAAAATTAACCCTTTAAATGCCGAAGTTATCCATTCAAATGCATGAGTTATCCCTTCGAATGCCAAAATTAACCCTTCAAATGCCCAAATTAACCCTTTAAATACGGAAGTTAACTTTTCAAATGCCAAAATTAACCAAAAAAATAAATTAGTGCAAAAAATGTACCATCGTAACAAATTAATATTTATTTTAGAAACATATAAAATTAACTTTTATACAAAACTTGAAGTGTAAATAATGTCTAATGTTATCCTGTGATTGCAGGTGCTTCGAATCAAGCCGCCGATGTGTATCACTTTAAGTGATGCTGACTTTGCTATTGATGTAATAGAGAAATCCATAAAGAATCATTATGACAGAACGAAAACTCAATCCTACAAGATGAGGCAAAATGTTACCGTGGAAACAGTGCCAATGTTTACACCTTAAATACTGGCATTGTGGAGGAATAAACTAGTGTAAAAAGAAACTTTTGTCCCATTTTC